TTTTTACAATTTATCTATATAGCCTACTATATAGTGCAAAAAAATAATAAAATAAAATAAAAAATAAAATAGTTTAGAGCATTTTTAATACAATTAAGCACTAGTCAAGCTGCAATATCAAACAGGACCACAAGGAGACGCCAAAAGATCACTAAACCTACTGCCTTGACCTGACTGTACAGGCTTCTATACGGATCCATTCAGAATCTAAAAAAACACCTTCAGGCTTCAGCAGCGTCCATTATAAAACACTCGTGCTTTTAAGCCAAATACACGCTGAAAATAATGTTGAGGTGACTAAGACATCTCTAATGAAATCGGTCGGGTTTTCTCTGTAGCTGTTTTGAACTTAGGCTACTGTTTGAAGGCATTAGTTTACTGGATCCTTGAACTGAAAAGTTTACCGGTTTAAAAAAATATCTTTTCATTTTTAAGGTATTGTTTTCGTTATAATGTACAGATTCAAATTAGGAGTCAATAATTAAATATTATTTTATCACTCTGCGCGCCTCCCTGACATGCACTCAAGCCCCAGACCGACTCCGCTTGCAATTCTCCGGCGCATTCTGACGGCATCACTGTCTTTACTGGGTATGTTTAGGGAATATTTGCATTTATTCACATGCGATTTGATTAGCTAGTCATAGTGGACTGTCATGATTTTGGCTAATGTAGGACACTAATGAATGATGCACATCAGAGGGGATTTAGAAGTGGGTATACGGAAAGCCGACTGATAAAGAAGTGGGTATACGCCATATACCTGCGTATACCCTCCACTACACCACTGGTTATAGGCTATGTTGTTTTTTTATTCTAATATAGCCCATGCAAAGGACATTTTCATAGCATTTCAGAAAGTTGTCATGGTAACAAATTGTGGTTTTTAAACAATTAATTCTTTAAATTGGGATTGGGCCTAATAAAACTTCCAGTTTTCCACTGTTCCTTCTATATGGGAGCTGGAGTTCTTTTTCTCTGCTTCCATTTGAAATAGGCTATAGGCAAAATTAATACAAGTAGAATGCAAACACAGATCAGTAATATCTGCCACCAGTCTAATTGTGTTTTTGGTACTCCGTTTGCTTCTTCAGTGGATTGGTTGTCATTTTCTGCTGTTGATTCTGCAACAAAAGTTCAGAAAATAAAACAACAACATTACTGCACAGTGTAAAACAGTAACAAAACAATTCATACTGTGTACAGAAGCAATCAGGCGGTTTTAATTTAAAACTTCAAACATAAATTAACTATTTTTTACCCACCTTTGATGATTAGGTGTACAGTCTCCTGTTCATTTGAGGGTGTAATATAGCAGATGAATTCTCCTGCATCAGCATGAGTGAGATTGATGAGTTTGATGGAGAAATTTCCTCTCTTATACTCGTCAGGGAAAGTTTGCGCTCTATTCTTATACCGTGGGTCCTGTGACTCTAAAAAATCTGTACCTTTTATAAAATCATAAATAGTCTCACTATCTTTGTCTCTCCAAAACACATCAATGTCTTGAAGTTTAAGATCATGTTTAGTTGAAGAACACGGCAGGACAACAGAACCACCAATAACAGCCTCTACTGTGACATCCAGAGACACTGAAATTATAGAAACTGTAATTGTAAACACATAATCTGGCATTTATACAGGTGACATGAATTTATCATTCAAATTTAGTTCAGATGCTCACCTTTGTTTATCAGCACTGCAAACAAACAGATGAAATGGCATCTGCAGAAACAACAACAAAAAAATTAACTTCCTTAATCTTAGCCAGTACAGCTTGACATTGGCAACAGGCTTGTTTGAGATGCGCAGAACTGATCACCAGTGATAATGCTGGTTAGAAAAGCTCTCGGACTAGCTGTGATGTCAATACTATCACAAGATCAAGGTAGGCAAAGTTTGTTTACCAGTTGAACAAACTAAAAGTACGATGGTAAGTCACTCACTGCCATTAAAACTTAGAATATCATAGTTTTGGTTTTTGTGGTTAATTTGCCTGATCTACATTTCAAACAACATACTGTGTGTCACAGTAATTACACTACTACTTAGGGCTGAACGATTAATTGCATTTGCGATAATATCGCAATATG